TGGGGTAATTTAGTAATGGGGGAGGGGGGGAATAATTTAGTAATGAACTGATGCATACACACGGTTAAACAGTTAAACGTCTAGTTTGAATTCTAATTAATGTTTTAATTACGCTTAATTAGTTCTTGTTATACGCTGATGGTATTTTGGCTGAATGCCGGAAATATTAATTCCTTTTAATAAAATATTTATATTTTATGATTTATGTTAGGTTTATTTACTAAATTCAGTATTTTATGTATTTGATTCAGTTTGAAAACAAATAGTTCAACCCGTTGCTTTAAAAACAACTTATTAAACACTGCACGTTGTTGTGTTTCATGTTAATTAGACTGATCAAAATCATAAGGTATCAAGAGTTATGATGAGACATAACAAACAGAGATTACTACTTTATATAACTGGGAACCCAGTGCTGATTGGATATCCAAACTTTCTTTTTAAAATTCGACCAACTCAACTTGGAATTCGACCAACTTAACCTAGAATTCGACCAACTCAACCTAGAATTCGACCAACTCAACCTAGAATTCGACCAACTCAACCTAGAATTCGACCAACTCAACCTAGAATTCGACCAACTCAACCTAGAATTTTCCAACAAAGCTAGGAACATTTCCTTCACGTGGATTTAAAGGTTCTGTCAATATGTCAGAAAGCTGTAACTTTCGATCACAATTTGAACCATTTATACATAATTTTATAACCTTTTTTCTTAAGTACTTTTTTGTCGGTATATACGTTTTGAATGGAAAAGTATAAATAAACAGATCTGTAAGTTCAAAGATTGTTGAATCATAGACCAAAACACGTTTGATTTCAAATTAAAAATACTCTGGTTAGTTTGGGGGTGCCTTGGTTCCCCAACCAAAATATGAGGCAAATTGGTCAAGGAGCTCATCAATTATGATTTAGTCCAAACAGAGATTACAACCTTATAAATATATAGATATTGATAGATTGGAATGTTATAGAAAATTCCAAAGAAGAGTTCATCAGCGAAGTTTTCAAACCAAACTGAAATATCTTTAGTTTAATGTGAGTTAAAACTTAGATACGAAAAAATAGGGTTCATTACAAGAGATTCTTTTTCTTACATTTCCAGTTCCAGGTTGGTTTATTTAACCCTTTATTATGAAATTAACATTGATCCCTTGTCTGGCATATATTTAGCTTATTCATTTTTTGGAGGATTTTAAATAAATGATTTTGGTGTAAATCCGTTTCAAACGATTTTATTTTGATTTACTTGCGTGTGAGACGTTTGAAAGGATGCTGATAATTGAAACTTTTAAACATTTGGACTCAATTCTAATTCTCAGGGGGAACGGAATGAATGTAATTCTAAATATAGAATGAAATCTATTAAACCAAATTATCTATGTTTGAAATATTAAAGGTTTACATTACCTGGTTGATTTGAAAGTTTGACTTTACCATACACCACCCCCCCCCCTATAGAATAGAATAGAATAGAATTGATAGATAGATAAATAGATAGATAGATAGATAAATAGATAGATAGATAAAAAGATAGATAGATATATAGATAGATAGATAGATAGATAGATAGATAGATAGATAGATATATAGATAGATAGATAGATATATAGATAGATAGATAGATAGACATTTTGGTGGATAGTTAAATATAAGAATTGTTGGATGAGTAAATAAATAGGTGAAAAGATACAAGAATGGATGGATGAGTAGATGAATAAATAGATAAATATAAGAATGGAAGGATGAGTAGATAAATAGATAGCGAATGAATGGATGAGTAGATGAAAGGATGAATAGGTGAGTGGACGGATGGATGGGTGGTACCATCTGAGAAAATACTAGAGTAAAGGTGCCAGAACGAGCTTTTTTATTCGCCTAGCAAAATGTAGGTTTAGTGAGTGATTAGTTTTAATTAGTTCTTGTTCTTCGGGTTGGCTGTATCCTATACTCCGATCTAGTTTAAACCAACCACAGATAGATCTGTCCTGTCACTTTAAACTCAACAAGAATGATTGTGACTCTCGAAATAATTAGGATTTTTTCAATTACTCCTACAAAAACAAATCATGTCTTAAAATCCTAATCAGGACACAAGAAATTTCTTCCATGAAATTTTACTAAACAGAGTCAAAATTTGTCTAAGTATCTATTATTTTCTTCAATTTTTAAGAGTTGAACACGGGCCAGGAATGACCTTACTTCGAAATTAATCAATAATTCAAAATTACGGAAAACTATTTTTAAAAAACCAATGTTTATGAGAACACCCTGTATCCCCCTCCCCCTGAATCTGACTCTACCATGATTATCTAAAGGCGTATATTCTTTGCTCTAGATGTTAATCTAGTATCCAGGAATTAGAGATATGAATCTTAGAAAAACTGATGATGATGCCAGCAATCAAAACGTGGTCTTCATTGAACGTAATTTCTTCATCTATTACATGGAACAGACAGACAGAAAGAATTGAAAAGGAAAGAAAGAAAAAGATCAGATGCATATTTTGAATCTTTATATTTATGTATGTTTGTTTGTTTCCAATAAACTTGAAAACGAGGAAACCCCAGGAAAAGGTTTATGACCCACCACTTCTAAAATAAATTGACAAACAAATTGGGATTAAAATTTTATTTTAGAAAACCGCCAATAAAAACAGGAAAATGCTTTTTTCAAAATGTACTCAAAAGGCTTTTGCAGAAAGATCAATAACAAAAGGCTGACATTATTATCATCAGCTGTAAACCTAATGTTCAAGATTTAAAGAACAGTTTCTAAATGATCCTACAATAATAATCTAGATGGAAAGATAGAAAAGAATTATTAAATAAGAATCTTATTAAAGGTGATTAGAAATACAAGCAATAAAAAAATAAATATTTATAGTGTTAAAATGATAAATTCAAAAGTTGAGAGGAATGAAAAGGCGAAAATGGCTGATAGAAAACCAGAGGAAAGTAAGATGAAAATGGCTGATAGAAAACCAGAGGTAAGTAAGATGAAAATGGCTGATAGAAAACCAGAGGAAAGTAAGATGAAAATGGCTGATAGAAAACCAGAGGAAAGTAAGATGAAAATGGCTGATAGAAAACCAGAGGAAAGTAAGATGAAAAAGAATCTGTTATGAACACTGAACCTTTAACATATTTTGGTCAGCGATTATATTAATACAATGAAGACCTCGTTTCTATTTAAGTTTGGATTTCTGGGTAAAAATCAAAATTAAAATCGAAAGTAGTCTTCATTGTATTGATATATACGACGACGACTAGACATGAAATTGATAAAATTCAAGAGCATAAAAAAAACAAGGATGAATATATAAAAGATGGGTGAATATATCTAGATAAGGATGACTATGTATAAAAGAATGATGAATATATCTAGGATAAGAATGAATATTTCTGAATAAGGATGTATAAAAATATAAGATGGATGAATATATCTATTTAAGGATGATTATATCTTGAAAAGGATGAATATATCTGGATAAGGATAAATATATCTTAAAAAAATGACTATATCTGGATAATAATGACTATATCTGGATAAGGATGAATATTTCTGGATAAGATGCCTATGTCTGGATAAGGATGAATATATCTGGATAAGGATGAATATATCTGGATAAGGATAAATATATCTGGATAAGGATGACTATATCTGGATAAGGGTGAATATATCTGGATTAGGATAAATATATCTGTATAAGGATGAATATATCTGGATAAGGATGAATATATCTGGATAAGGATGAATATATCTGGATAAGAATGAATATATCTGGATAAGGATGAATATATCTGAATAAGGATGAATATATCTGAATAAAGATTTTATATATAAGATGGATGAATATATCTGGAAAAGGAGAATTATATCTGAATAAAGATTAATATATATATATATAAGATGGATGAATATATCTGGATAAAGATGAATATATCTGGATAAGGATGAATATATCTGAATAAAGATGAATATATATGAGATGGATGAATATATCTGGATAAGGAGGATTATATCTGAATAAAGATTAATATATATATATATAAGATGGATGAATACATCTGGATAAGGATGAATATATCTGGATAAGGATGAATATATCTGAATAAAGATGAATATATATGAGATGGATGAATATATCTAGATAAGGAGGATTATATCTGAATAAAGATGAATATATAAAAGATGGATGAATATATCTGGATAAGGATGATTATATCCGAATAAAGATGAATATATATATAAGATGGATGAATATATCTGGATAAGGACAGAATAAATCATATTGATCTGACCAACCTACAGGGCTGAATACTTCTAGCTGTCTGCTCAATCTTGGAGCAAAAAATATTGATTGAAAGATGATTTGTGTTCATCAGATACAGGTCTACGCTGAACTAACGTTTATTTTACTTTATCTTAAAAATCACAGAGCATATTCTTGTCAAGTTCTGGTGTTTCAATAAAACAATATTTTTTAATCTCCTATTTTAAACCTTATAACATATGCAATTATTTTGCGACAGTAGAAGCAATTTCAAGTGACCCTCAATTTGAAAAGTAAAAGTCCGATTGTAAAAAGGCATTTTTTAGACGTTTTCTAAGGAACAATGAGAAAATTTAATAAAAATAAGAACTAAATTAAGCTGGTGCAAACCAAGATAAAAATAATCTTGTTTTGTAGATTTGGCTTAGCATGAGCTCTGAACTGAATTATTTATAAATTTATTACTTGGCTCAGCTGGAGATTAAACTACATTCAATTAATAAATAACAATATTAGATTAAATATAAAACATTTACTTTCTTATTCAATCATCGATTCTTCCTCCTGCTGCCGAATCCTTCCCAGTTTGCTCAACAACGAGTTATGAATGGGAGGCCAGATAGTGACTAGTCGTATCGCTCAAAGAAGTCCTCTCACGTCCCTTCTCCGTGAAACGGAACCGAGAGAAGGCATGAAAGCGGTTGTAAGAAGTTACAGCACTGAGTGGAATATGCGATTCATCCCAGACAAGATAAAGGAATAAAGTAAATAAATAGTGAACCTGGCATGCATCTAAGCTAAAAGAAGGAATAAGAAACTCAAAAATTAAGGATTAAGTACACGCTGCAGATTCCGGTTTTTTACTTATCCTCTTAAAAATGGAACTGGAACTTATCCTGCTCTTAAGATTGCTGCGGAAGATCTTATTCAGAGTTGGGTATAAAAGGATATTTGTACTTTTCATTTGTATAATGTGGTGCAAAATAATATGAGTTCATCAATTCCACACAAGTCGGAAAGACTATAAATCAAGGAACAAGTAAACTTTTTTTCAGCAATGAAAAATTCCTCAATACGCCTCTTCCAAATTTCCAACTCCTCCAAATTATCCAAACCTCAACGTCAAAAGAATTTTAGTTGAAAACATCCAAGATATAAAGAAGATAAAAAAGTACAAAAAATGCATGCTGGCAGGCCTAGATTAGAGATTTAGCTTAGAATAAAATTGCAGAAACCTACAACCGCCTGGCCCCTTTCTACCCCTTTATTCTAATTTTAAAAAGCCTGCTCAGCTGTAATGAGTCAGGATTCCTGGTAAACACAATAAGGAAAGCAAAATATAAAACCAAGACATGCCTAGTCTGCAAAATAAAACACATAGAGCGTAGGAACAGGGTGTCCGACAAAATTCCAGAACCATAGACATATTGATGGTTATAGGGACATTCAAAAATATTCTCTTTCAAAATTTAACCAAGAACATGATGGAAAACAAAACATTGGAAAACAAGACTGTAGTGCAGAAAAATGAAGTACAACAAGAACTGTGACAGGGTGTGTGCAGACGTATGAGCACCCTGTTCAATTGCTTTGACCATCATCTATTTACACAGATTGTTAAAAACTAAAAATTTTAAAAAAATGTTATAAAGGTAAAAAATGAATTGGAGGATGTAGGCAAAATTTAATAGCAAGGTATAACATTCTATAGAATTTGAGTTTCCTTGATTTAGGAGAGGGAAACAGGAGCCTCAAATAAAAAGTGTTGAATGACTCTTTACACTTACATTCTTTTCCTTTCTCACCCTCCTCATCTAGTTACAATTGCATTATTTTCCTTTCTCCCACTCCCTAGTTACCATTATATTCTTTTTCTTTCTTCCCTTCCTCCTTTTGTTACACTTACATCCTTTTATTTCTCCCCCTTCCCATCTAGTTACACTTACATTCTTTTTTTTGTCCCCCTCTAGTTACAGTTATATTCTTTTACTTTCTTCCCCTTCCCTTTTGTTACACTTACATTTTTTTTCTTCTTTTCCACTCTCCCTCAAGTTGCCCTTCTCAAATGAATCCTAAAGAAGCGTTCCACAACACTGCATACTCAGTTAAACTACCTTAAATAGCCGGTTTGTCCCTTTAAGTCTTGATGCCCTTGTATCTTTTTTTCTATTTTCTTTCCTTTCTCCTCTAGTTACACATTTATCGCTTTCCTTCTTAGCTTCTCCTTCTCACTCCATCCAGTTGGGTTTATATTCTTTTTATTCTCTGCCTCTCCTCCCCCTTGTACCCCTTTAACCAAAGTACCCCCCCCCCTAAACAACACTGGTAGCTAAATAAATGTCAACCTTGAATTAAAAGCAAAGTAATTAGATTACCAAGATCTGTATAGAGACCACAGCTCTACCTCTGACTAGGGAAAGAGTGTCCAACACGAAATATTCCTTCCTTCTTTCATGATCTTCCACGAATATATTTGTTCCCTGATTATCCTTGAAGTTTAGATTTGTCAGGGTTCTCATTCAACTAGGTTTTTCTAATTCAAGTTCTCTCACCCCTGGGGTCTTCAGAAATAGTATCTCAATTCATAACATTTACATTTTTACAACGTTTCCAAATAAATAATCCTGGTACTTCTGAAACTCCAGGTACCCCTGGTACTTCTGGTACTCCTGGTACTCCTGGTACTCCTGGTACTTCTGGTACTCCTGGTACTCCTGGTAATCCTGGTAATCCTGGTATTCCTGGTACTCCTGGTACTCCTGGTACTCCTGGCACTATTAATACTCCTTGTACTCCTGGCACTCCTGGTACTCCCGCCCCCTCTCTGACTAAAGCAAGTAATAAGAATTGCGTGAGGGTTCAATGGGAAAACCACAGTTTGACATTCATACTAAACAATATACACACAGTAGTACATACACAATACACTTCATACTATACAATATACAATATACAATGTAGTACATTAGACAATACACTTTATACAATATACAATATACACAGTAGTACATACACAATACACTTCATACTATACAATATACATCCCACCTTTAAGTCAACTTGTAAACAAATGATGAGACTATAGAAACGATTGTACGAAATTTATACTGACTGTTTCCTTACATTAACGTTTCCCTGCAACTTTAAACTTTCATGATGCTTTACCAAATCATTGAATAAGCAATTAGGTTATTATATATAAGGCAGAATGTATAAATCAACCCGTGTCCGAATCTAATGAATTTGAGCCGCGTCTTAAATCCGCCAAAAACCGGTTTCAATTGAGCGCTGGCTTAAATATTGAAACATTGAATACAATTTTAAGTGAAACCAACTATATTTGAGCTAAGGCTTAAATTTAAGCCGCCGCCCAAATTCTTTAAATTTGGCCTCCGGGAATTGTCATATTTTAAGAGTTGCAGGTCGTCTTTACAGTTTCATCCTTTGTGGGTAACCCTTTATAATCTGAGACTGAAGTACACAGACTGTGCTCTACCCAGAATTTAGTTTTATATTTACAAGGTACTTATGGTAAATAAAAACCAGGAACAGAGAAATGGAAACCATGTAACAATCAAAATGTAACTTTAGAACCAAGTTAATCTAGAAATTGAAACTTTGGTACAGGAATTCTAGAAGTTGAAACTTTGAAAAAATGAAATTGAAACTTCCGAACAAGAAATATAGAAAATTAAACTCTGGAACAAAAATTAAACATCGGAACTGAAAATATAGAACCAAGAACCTTAGAACTGAAAGTATGGAACCAGGGACTAAAACTTTGAACCTTGGAACCAAAATTATGGATCTAGGGACATTTTAGATGAAACCAAGGAAACGGAAGCCTTGAAACTAAAAATTTGGAACAAGGAATCTTAGAACTAAAAGTATGGAAGTAGAAACCTTAAACCTTAATTTGTGGAACCATGAACTTTGGAACTGAAACTGTGGAACCAGGAACCTTGGGAACTGAAAATGTGTAACCAGGAACCTTGGAATTAAAACTATGGAATTGGAAACCTTGAAACGGAAACAATGGAATTAGGAACCTAGGAACCAACACTGTGGAACCAATAACCTTGGAATTGAAAATATGGAACTAGGAACCTAGGAATTAAAACTATGGAACCAGGAAGCTTGGAACTGAAACCATGGAAGCAGAAACTGAAACTGCGGAACCAGGAACCCAGGAATGGAAAGTATGGAACTAGAAACCTAGAAGCTGAATCCCTGGAACCAGGAACCCTGAAACTTAAATTGTGGAACTAGGAACTTAGGAACTGAAATTATGGATCCAAGAACCTTTGAACTAAAAGTATGGAACCAGAAACCTTGAAATTGAATTTATGAATCTAGGAATCTAGGAACTGAAAATATGGAAACCGGAAATTTGGAACTAAAAGTATGGAACCATGAATCTTAAGACTATAAGTATATAACTCAGAACCTTGGAACTGAAACTAGGAACATTGGAACAAAATGATGAAATTAATCAGGAACGTAGTAACGGAAACCAAGGAATCGAAAAACCTTGGAACCGAAACTTTGGAAGATGGAACCATAGAATTAAAGATATGCAAGTTGGAACCTCGAAAATGAAGTTATGGAACCGGGACCCTTGGAACTGAAACTATAGATCCAGGAACCTATTAATTGAAAAAATTGCCCTGATCTGGTCTGATCGAATTTAAACCTAGAATTATATATCATCAAGAAATATATAAACTATACTACATAGGCTCCAGGATACTATACTACTCCAGGATATGAATAATACTCCAAATATCTCCCCCCCCCCCTTCACCTCCTCTCTTTAGCATCTTATGATCCGAGGGGGGGGGGAGGGGGGATGAGGGCCCCATTAGCTGTATTTTTGTCATTTCAAGCTCATGATTAGCATCATTATACTTGGTAAGAATAAACGAAAGAATTATGATAGAAGCGGAGATCATTAAATATATTTATTCAAATCCAAGGTTTCTCACAAATAATGGAACAAGATAATTAGAATTCAGGATAAAGGGGCTGTAAACTTAATTTGAAGTGACCCTGTATGCAAAGATGACAATGCCTTGAAAGCTTTGTCTGATCAAGTATGAATTAGATATCCATGTTTTTTTTATTTAAAATATTTATTTTTATTTGCGGTTTCTCTACAAAAGTGAATTTTAGATTTCATGCTTATCAAAAGCAATGGAGAAATTATCAGAATTAAAAACTTTTCGAGTCAGGAAAACAAATACATCTTCCACTTTTTTATCATATTTAAGTTTCAAGGTTACCGTTTTATATCGGGCATTGTCATCTTTACACGGAGAGTCACTTGACATTACACTTACATTCTTTTTAATTATTTAGGTTTGAATTAACCTAAGCTTCTTATAAATCCTCATTGGTTGTCTCAAATTTATATTTTCTACAAGTCCTTATGACATATCTGCAGATTTAAAATTTTTTTTTATCAATAGTGATTTGTTTCTCAGTCACTCTGTACGGTTTAAAGTTGAGTTCCAATTTATCTTTCTTTAGTTTTAAAATTCTCTTTTTCATGATTGACATTCTTCTAGTTCTTCTCAAGTTATATTATCTGTTCAAGTTTTTAAAGAATTCATCTCCTCGGTCTGTCCCCTATTTTTAGAAACTCTTCGCATGATAAATTTCTTGTTGTCCTTTGTTTTTTTACCATTTTTAATATACTTTTCTTTTTTTCTGCGACTAAAATTTTTCAAATTTCATTCATCGTTTTTTCTTCTGTTCTCGTCTTTTGGTTCTTCCACCATTGCTTCAAGTACTTCAGTGATTTCTTCTTTTTTTCCCTTTTTACCATGTTATTCTTCTAATTTTGTCTTTTAGTTCTTAAATCTTCACTTTTAGTTCTTCTTTTTTACCCGTATGTTCTTCTGTTCTCATTCGTTAGTTCTTCCAAATTTCCTTTCAGTTCTTTCTTCTTCTAATTTTTTACCTGAATGTTCTTCTGTTCTCGCCCGTCAACTCTACCGTCATTAGTTCAAGTTTTCCTATGATTTCTTCTTCTTTTTTACCCTTATACTCTTCTTCTATTCTTTTCTGTTCTGTTCTTCTGCGATTTCTTCATCTAACTTGTTCTTCTTCTGTGATTTCTTCTTCAATTTCACCCTTTCGTTCTTCTGTTCTTGTCTGTTTGTTCTTCCATCTTTGATTTCAATTATTTTGTAATGTATTCTTTTAATTCCCCCCTTTTTTAGTTTTTTCTTCCATATTTACTTATTTATTCTGTCATTTCTTCTTTTTCTCTTTTATCCTTCTGTACTCATCCATTACTTCTTAATCTTTGCTTTCTTACTTCTCTCATTTCCTTTTCTCTTTCTTCTTCACCCTTATTATTCCTCTTCTCATCCCTCAGATCTTCCACCTTTGCTTTTAATTCTTCTGTGATTTCTTCGTTCTAACTTGTTTTCGTCTTTTACCCTTTTGTTCTTGTGTTCTAATATCCGTTAGTTCTTTCATCTTTGTTTTCAGTTCTTCTGTGATTTCCTTTTTTAACGGGTTCTTCTTCTTTTTTTTACTCTTATATTCTTCTCGTCTCACCCATCTGTTATTTCATCTTTCAATTCTTCTTATTTTAATATTTTCATCTTTGCTTTCCATTCTTTTGTAAAGTCTTTTTCTAACTTATTCTGCTTTTATATTCGCCATTTTATACTTCCGTTCTCGTCTGTTCATTATTACATTGTTGCTTTCTGCTTTTTTTGTAATTTCTTCTTCTCCTTTCCTCTTTCAATCTTATGTTCTTGTATGTTAGTTCTTCTACCTTTGTTTCTAGTTCTTCCTGTTGTAGATTGATAAAATACAGAGAATCACGAAATAATACTTAACTTCTTGTATAACAAGTTCTTCTTGAAGAGACGGTAAGTACAATTTCAAATGATCCCCCACGCAAAAATGGCAATATCAATGTTTATAATTTTGAAACTTGTGGCTTCTCTACAAAATTGACTTGCGCATTTCTACTGCAAATAAAATCATAATGAAAATTATCAAATTAAAACACTATTAAACCCTCAAAATAATATTTTCCTTATTATTGATCAGATTAAGGGTTTCAGAGGTATCATCGTTAATCGGACATAAAGCAAACTTTAACTTTTTAAATTTTTTTCTATTACAGTTTTGAAAAAATATTTAGGAGGAACCTTTTGAAGACCTTACAGTTACATGTTTATAAATGAACAAAACATTAGTTTTATTGTACGAATTATAATACTGCGCTCGGCCCCTAGCCTCAGCGCCTGGCCCAGAAAGTGTCTAAACCTAACCTAACCTAACCCTAAAACATATACTAATCTCTCTCTTTTTGTAATTCAACGCCGCAGGTGCACGTAACTTCCTTGGGCAGCTACCCGAAGTTTAGTAAATCTGACATAATGTCGTTTCTACTTGGACATTAGTAAGTACAAGGACAAAGCATTTTAGTACATAAAAACCAGTGTTATAGTAAATACACTTGTTCAACATAAATCTCCCGGCCTTATAATTCACCCTGCAGAAAATGTTGTCTTTACCAACCCCCCCTGTCGAAGAAGTCCAAAATAAAGCAGTACTCTGGCAATGTTTCTGTACTCCAACAACAGGAAAACATCAATAGTGAAACGTTTTAACTAGTAAATAATTAAATCAACAAATAATTTTGCAATTCCACTTAAACAACCGGATTTTCAGAAGTATTTACAAATGTTTTAAACTACTCCATAGAACCCTCCGAACCCTTAATCACTCCTTAATTATCCTGACACACCTAAATTGTAAGTGTTCTAATTAAACATTCAAAACCATTTATACATCTACATTTATTCTACTATATCGGTATTTTTTGGAGGTTTGAAATAAATCTGTTTATCTTATTATTTGTTCTTTGTGTCCCATTTAAGGAGTCTAATCAACTAATCAATGAATCAACAAATCAATGAATCAACTAATCAACTAGACAACTAATTGCTTAATCACCGACACCCCGCCTAAGTTTCAACAACACTAAACGTGCAGTATTAGAAACAAATATTAAGTTTATCAAACTATGACATTTATTCATTTATTCATATAAAGCTCATTTTAAATCAAGAGACAAGATACGGTTGTTCGACCTAATTTCTGAAAATGAAGGCCTCACGCGCTGTATTCAAATGAATTGAAATATCAAGATTTGAATATTCATATGCCTAGATACTTCTTCACAATAGGGGCAGTTTTTACAACCTTGGGATACTTTTTAGGGTATATTGAATATTGAATCCATGGGATATATTCTAGGAGTATATTTAGATATTATAGAATATATTCTAGGAGTATATTTAGATATTATAGAATATATTCTAGGAGTATATGTAGAAATATAGAATATATTCTAGGAGTATATTCAGATATTATAGAATATATTCTAGGAGTATATTTAGATATATAGAATATATTCTAGGAGTATATTATAGGATATATTCTAGGAGTATATTTAGATATATAGAATATATTCTAGGAGTATATTTAGATATTATAGAATATATTCTAGGAGTATATGTAGAAATATAGAATATATTCTAGGAGTATATTCAGATATTATAGAATATATTCTAGGAGTATATTTAGATATATAGAATATATTCTAGGAGTATATTTAGATATATAGAATATATTCTAGGAGTATATGTAGATATATAGAATATATTCTAGTAGAATCTGTAGATATATAGGATATATTCTAGGAGTATATGTAGATATATAGGATATATTCTAGTAGTATATGTAGATATATAGGATATATTCTAGGAGTATATGTAGATAAATAGGATATATTCTAGGAGTATATGTAGATATATAGGATATATTCTAGGAGTATATGTAGATAAATAGGATATATTCTAGGAGTATATGTAGATATATAGGATATATTCTAGGAGTATATTTAGATATATAGAATATATTCTAGGAGTATATGTTGATATATAGGATATATTCTAGGAGTATATGCTGATATATAGGATATATTCGATATATAGGATATATTCTAGGAGTATATGTAGATAAATAGGATATATTCTAGGAGTATATGTTGATATATAGGATATATTCTAGGATTATATTAAGATATATCTATATATATATAGTTTGCTTGTCTTGATGTCTGTTTGTTTGTAACATCCAAACCATAGCGATGTCTGGACATTTTCTGCATCTCCTGTAGCACTAAGTGGACGACCAGAGCTATCCGGACATTCCGCAAATTACTATACGCTTGTTTG